AAAGCTGACGATTGGATGGTTGCAGAGATTCTTCGTCTGGGTTATGCCCGAACTTATCCACGGGTCCGAAGGCATCGCGACGTCCTACCGACCGAGAAGTGCACACCAAATATAATATATTAATATATTAACCTTTGACTTTCTATTCGTGTTAATTAATTCTTCAAATCTATCTGCTGTTTCAAACATTTAGTTAACTATAAATAAAGAAATAAGTAAATATAAAAATAAATAAATGAATAAATAAATAAAATAAATAAATAAATTTCAAATATTGGGTTAGCTTGATTCGATCTTGCGGCAGCTACTAGAGGATTCGATTGTTCTTTCTCCCCTATACCCAGTTCTATCGATTTTCAACGTCGGTGTTCTTGGGGTTGCGCCTCCGGTAGCTAATTTTGATGACGATGTCTGACTGGGACGTTCTGGTTATGGTGCCGACAATGGCCCATCCTCTCAACGGCCGTTGTGTGCTCTCATTGACTCGCAAGCATTTTGGACTCTTTGTTACCTGTTTCAAGAGAGGCCATGAAAACGCTCAAAGCAAAAGCTGACGATCGGATGGTCGCAAAGTCCCGCCGAGTTTTTCCAGCGAGTCCTCCGATCTCGGGGGATCGCGACGTCCTATCGGCCGAGAAGTGTACATCGCCGGTGTCTGTATTTCCAATTTCGATCCCTCGGGTTTCTCAAGTTTACCCCCCAACGGTTCTCGTACTGTTTAGCGTCTTTTGAAAGCTCTTCTCAAATTTCCTTCGCGTTACTTGTTCGCTATCGGTCGTTCGATCGTATTTAGCCTTAGATGGAATCGACCGCCTACTTGGGGCTGCAATTCAGAGCAACCCGAGTCTATAGGGATAGATGCGACCCTATACCCAACGGTCATCACTCCTGTTTTGCACATGACAAACGTATATTGTCAAATATCTACCTGGAACGATTGTATTAGATTCAGAAGTAGCTGAATACCATACATATCTACTGTTTGAAAAAATCGATCGAGAACCTTACCCAGGTAAACTTTTTTGTGACGCAGTTGAATTATTTTTGGGAATTTCAATAAGTTTGGTTGTTAAATATTTACAGAATCGTTAATCTTTCTCTGTCTATTCTTGTGTTCAAAATGTATTTATTATTTAAAATATTTAGTTGGTTATTTCCCTTGATAGGATATTATCAGTCCGCTTTGTTTCATAGTCTAAGAAGCAAAGTATTGTAATGTCGGTTATGTTGCCAAATTAGAATGTGTTGTCCTTACAAACGCATGGTTTTCACAGAGCGCCGGTTTTGATTAACAAAAATGGCTTGCTCGGCACTTTGCATCCGATCTCGCGGCAGCCGCTAGAGGGTTTGGTTATTCTTTCGCCTCTATAACTAGTTCTATCTATTTGCACGCTAGTAGCGTTGCGGTCCCCTATCGGGGTTTCGCCTGATTTGGTACTCATCAGGCATAGTTCATCGTCTTGCGGGTTCCAGCACCTCCGGCACCGAACTTTGCTTGATGGAGACGCTCTGGGAACGCACACTTTGCTTCGGGGGCATAACCTGGGACGTATTCTATTTCTAATATTTGTTAACGACATCACGAATGTAATATCACGTCATCACTACTTGTTTGCAGATAACTTATTGTCAAATATCTTCCTCGAAAGATGGTAGTAAATTCCAGAAGTAGCTCAGTACCACTGAGGCGTGTTATGTACATACCTAGATACTTTCTAAACATATTAGGTCCATATGCCTCTGTGCATAAAACTCTAGGCTTCCTAAAGTGTAAGTTTTTTTCCAATACTACCACCACGTACGTTTTCCTTACACATGGGGTTACTCCGACCTAAGCTGGAGTACTGTAATCTTGTATGGTATCCCATCAATAAAAACCAAGTGCAAGTACCATCGAATGAATACGACGAAATTTCTAAAATATTTAGTTTTTAAAATAGACAGAGTATACTCCCCAAGAGCATATCCACAAGAAGCAGTGCTTAATACAACATACCATGGAAGAATCGAAGATATCATTACGCTTGTACTTCATTCATAATCGAGTAGACTGTCCTTTGCTAAACTTTTATTTGCCGAACCTACCCAGTTATTTTTGAAAACCCGACTTCGAAAACGAATATTTTATTAAAAGCTCTCATATCATAAATGGAATTTCTGGACGATGAATTTCGTGTAATAAAGGGCGGAGAATTTTGAATGGTTCTAGTTTTTCCGACGTCCTGTCATGGAACAGAATCGATGAAATCTTAATACGTAAATAGCTTTAACTAGAAAATGAACTATTACTTAATTAAAATAATAAATACTCGCATAATGCTCAAACTGGTACTGAAAGATGATGTATCAATACTCGTAAATGTTAAGAACTGCAATGTAGGGAGCGAAAATATTGGATTAATCACCCATAAAATATAATTTTAATAAATGTAAGACGTTGAATTAGATCTGCGAGCTAAAGCTCGTTGAAAGAAAGCATTAAAAAGCTGAGCCGCATACACAAACACCGCCTGTCTCTCACGTTTAACGTAAAATTAGTGGGATAAGTTACACTTTCTTTAATGTATTCGACATGGATCAGTCGGATTGGTTCACGTACGTAAACTTCATACCTTCTGAGGAAATAGGAATCACAAATAGGCGGTTAGGCACAGCTAGCTATGTACAGCTAGAGCTTTGCGTTCCAAATATCAAGAGAAAACATTCAGAATTACGAATAATTCAGTTCGGATTTGTCTTGAATGACAATTGGAAAGTACTCAACTCACAATCCACTCTGTCGAGTAATTTTTCTAAAAGGCACTCGATTTTTCCTTGTAGATATTCATAACTCGATTTGAATAAGCCAATAACTCAGGAAAGCACAGTGAAACTTTTTTATAGATTGAACGGCTCCCATCACATCAGACTGCTACAAGTCTAAGGTTTAAAAATTTATCGATATTCTCCCCTTCCGCGGGCGTTATAGGAAATACATCACGGGAATGAGGTCGGCCTAGGCGGCGAACCGTGACTTACTCTTGGCAAATACTGATTGGTAAGGAACTGTCATCTGCAACTTTACTTCCGATTTCCGTTTCTAGACTTCCACCACGGATAAGTAAAACTGTTCAATTCCGTTAATGTTGCAGGAAACGACGTCGATTCCGGTACGTCCTTTCGGATGTTGTTAAATTAACTAAAATGTCAATGGCTTTTTGCAAACGGAATTATGTTACTATCAAATAACCAGTTCCTAAGGTGTTTCCTTATTGGTAGGTCTCTTAACCCTTAATTGTATCGAACGTACTAATGTCTTTATAATTACTTTTCCGCGAGTTTATGTTCCTACTTAACTTTATTAAATACTTTCTTACTACTCCTGTTAATTTCGCATTTCTTTCGGATTTGCCTGCATTCTCTTTCGTACAAATTTTCATTTTTTAATTAAAAGAGTTAACAAACATGATCTACCCATGCCTTAAGTTTGTTAATGTTCAGTGTTTTTTGCATCACAAGGCACATACAATTTTATTAGATTCACAATTAGGTACTGCTTGATTAGAGCTAAACATTCGACTTGGTCGATCATCAACTGTTGCTCGCTTTATTGAATGATGTTTGGTTTAATCAAGGGTCGATGGTGTTAATCAGAAGTGACAGGTACCAGGAAGTTTTTTTGGGGTTTTCCGCAAGGATGTTGGTCCTACTTATTTGAATCTCATTTCTATGCCGAGGATACACAAATATATTTGTCATTCTCTGGAGAGTAAGTTAATATCTTGCGCAATTAACAAAAATTTACAATTAATCAACAAATTTTATTTAAGTCGTGGTGTGAAAAACTACAGTAAATTTGGGAGTCGACAGACTACATATGAATCTACAGTCCGGAAGACAAAATATACATCAAAAATAGCAAATGGATCCTGTGTTACTCCTAACTTAACTACGCCTGGTGCTGAAATTCGTCCATTGTTCATTCTTTTGTAGAAGTTTATCTCTGGTCGTTTCCTTATCGCTGCGAAAGCTAATTCGTTTCAAGATAAGCACGTGTTATCGCCGAGTTAAGCAGATGCAGATTATTGAAACAAGACGCAGTATTTTTATAAAGAAGTAGAGAGGTCCAAGCTGGAACAGCGAAAGAGAAGAATGTTTTAAGTAAGCTACCTGGACGTGAATCGTGTCGTAGTTGGGCGTATTTGAAAAGACCGTCTGTCTTTTTTAATTGTAAAGTTGTGTAGAAGCCTGGGTAGAAGCTAGATACAATACAATACGTCGTGTGATAAAAGTAAACGTTAAGAGTTAAGCGGAGGGTTGTCTGGTGGCGGACGTTCACAGTGGTCGGTTTTGTTTTTTGTGGATGTTGAAACGTAGCCGCTTATTGTTTAATGATTGGCAGATTTGCCGTTAATTGAGCGTATTATTGGAAAGACAGTCTGTCCTTTGTATTCGTAAAGTTTTTGTTGTAGAAGAAAGCTAGTTAAGTGCTACGAGTATTAAGATATTTAAGTTGTGTTGTTCTAGAGCCAAATTTTACGTCAGTAATTGCAACGAACCCAGTGTCGTCTAAATCGAAATTCAAGTACTATTATAATTAAAGTCGAAGTATTTTCACCTGGTGTTTTGTGTTAGTGCATCTGTTGGAAATCGCGGCACAACATGAGATTTTGGATTATTAACACTTTGCCCTCTTGTGTTTTAGAAGTTGGACTATTTGCGGCTCCAATTGATTCACCTGATTTGGCTTCGCCAGATTTCCCCAAAAGTAGAAGTTTTATCTGGCTAGAGAAAAATTTTCCACGAATGACAAGGTGACAGAAAGCGCCAATGCCTATTTTGAGGAGCTCGAGGGTTTGGTGTTGGAGAAACTCGTCGAGCTTCGGATCACTACGTCGAAAAATTCTGTATCATTGTTATTTATTTCAAAACAGGAGACTTAACGAACGATTGATAGACTTTATTAGTCAATAATTTTCAAAGGAAATTTCTAAATACAACACCTACTACAACTCTCTTACCTTCTGATGGTGCTTGGCCAGGTTTGTAGGTCATATCTGAAAGACGAAAAAGGGTTACATTCAAACGAGGAAAAACGATAATGTGAAAACATGCAAACGGTGTACAATAACAATTATTATGTCACTTAAACTAGAACGTGCATAAAAGCTACTGTGTCTACAGGGCGATTCTCGAGCGCCCTCTGTTAGCCGCATCTGCGGTCGCATTAGATGGGGACCTTGTAACTGGAACACCGTGTTTCATTGCAGTTTATCCATTGTATCATGCAGTGTGTTAGTTGTAATGATTTTGATGTATCGATGGAGAGCTCATTTGTAACCTTTGAAAACTAGGTCTCCACACGCCAACTAAAGTCCGTAAATTACATTGACACTGAGATCAAGGTGCAATTAGCTACCAGCTTAGAAAAACGGTAGCCAACTTGCAAAATCACTCAAAAGAGTAAAGCCAACTTTTATGATGGAAGGTCAAAATAAAATCGATAATGTTGATCACGTGATATGCGAAATGCCTGAATCCGTTGGTGTTTCTTTAAAAGAGAAGAATTGTTTCATTCTGAACACGATAACTGCCAAACGCTTGGATTGATTCGGTTCAAACTTTGCACAGTTGACCTACATGCCACATGTAACAAGTATATGGGTCAAATCCAATAACCCCGTAGGATCAAACCGAGATACTCTGCTGCTTTTTTAGATCCGCGTTAGGCGTTTATTATTTATTGGTTAAATAGAACGACATCCTGATTTATAAATGTTCTGTGTATATCGACGAAGTGTATCGAACACACTAATAATTCTATATTTTTAATACTGCGCAACTATATTTACTGACAAAATAATAATAAAATAGTAAATGTATATATAAAAATCTACAATAATAGAAATCCCTTATGCTCTCACTTGATTCATTTAAATCACCTATATTCGATACCGTCAGAATTTTTAATAGTTTATTTATCGAATCATATCGAATTGTTGTTATTTTTTTATTATGTGCGTCCCAGAATTCGATTACTTTAATACATTTCAACTATCTGCAATCTTTCAAGACTGATAGGGTTTTAAAGACTGCTGCCAAGGAAAATATTACCAAAAAGGATATCTTAAAGGAATTCTTTGAAACTGAAATGATTCCCGTGGTAGTAGTTTTGAATTGCAGAGGAACAGCAACAATTAAAGATTTGTATTGTTCCAAATGCTACAGCACTGTCTAAAATTCTATTAAATTGAGCAAAGAATTTTTTGAACATTGTTCTTAATTCCGGTCAGATTCCAATGAATTTCGGAAGGCAATAGTAACCGCTGTTTTAAAACAGGGTAATCCACAAACTATTAGGCAGAGCTGGTGGGAAAATGAAGGAGTGTGTGTCTGTTGTGTCGGCTGAATAGGGATATTTTACCTCTCTTTGCGATTAAATGGGGCCCTCCGTCGATTAGTGTCAATGATCCATGAGGAAGATTTAGAACACTGCGAAAGGGTGCTTTCCGACAACCACATTTAAGTTAATAATGAAGACAGGATCTAGATCCTAGACACTGAAAATATTTTTCATTTTTCTTTTTGAATGTGTACCATCCAAAAGTGTTGATTCTAGACTTTCCTCTTTCTGTATCACAAAAGTGATTTGTAATTTTGGGAAGAGCCAAGTGCAAATGTTTTGGAAAAATCTACTGCTACTGCAAAATACTTAAATGAATGTTCATTTATTCAAAATGCTTTATTAAAATGTCAAAAATGCAAAAAACTTCCTCAAAATTAATAAACAACAGCTCATCTGGGTGATCTGATCACTAATGTACCAACGTGAGCGATTGTCGCACTGTTTGTGTGACAAAAATGCAATGCATCATGCACAACAGCAAGAAAGTCCCTAATAGCATGCAATGTTAGTTATAAATAAACGTACAGTTAAAGTAGACTAGAATTCCGGAGACCATCACAAATATTACTACTAATACTACAAGTACAAGTAGTAGGACAGAAGGTTTGCAGCATGGCGTCCAAAAGGATGACTCGGTCCCTGAGTTAGATGCTGTAGTTTGTGATGGAACGCACCAAGTGCAGGAACTTGGTCGAAGAGGAATTGATTGATTAGTTCGTACCACACTACTTCCTACGGTGGCATTCACTACAATTCCCCTGTGGGCATTATTACGCGTAAATGAGCCATCCTCCTTGTCTACTTTTCGTAACTCTGTATCTTGGTAGACTCCATAAGATGCCACCATACTGGCCGCGGACTGCGGTAAGTTGTTGCACCTCATCGTTGATGGATGCATTTTTGAGATCTCGTTGGTCCAACATTTACACGAACAATTGGATTCTGCTTCGAGATTATTTCGGAAGACCTTGGGTCCATCCGAGTTTGCCTCCCTCACGTACCAAGCATCGTTATACGTGTGAGGTGACTGTGAAGTAGAAGCATAATCTATGTAATTATTACGGACAAACTCCGAAATCACTGTATAGTTACTGTTAGTGTTATTAATAAACATGCTTTCCCTCTTCAACATTCATTCATAGTATGACTATGAATTTAGACTCAAAATTGCCAATCATATTAGATCTAACTACTCACACTTTTTAAATTGTGCTTTCGATCGTTTACCTGTAACAAAATAAAACAAGTTAGTATATTGAAGTAGGACGTTAAAGGAAGGTTCTAACTATCAGTGCCAATAAGCAGAAAACCCAACAACAATTTAGCATTACGCACAATGTTAAGTTGGTCAGTTGCCGACTTGAAATTGACAGGTTGCAAACTATTGCAATGATTTTGTCTAGAACCTGTCAGAAATAGAGAAATACTATTCCTAGGTCTAAAACAGTATGGGATCGTTTTGCACCCCGACAATCTCTAAGAAGATTGTATATGAGCAAAGGGGCAAAGCCTATATTATATATATAAAGTTCAAAGGGCTGTAACTTTTGATCTAGTAGTCCAATCTTGGAACTGTTTGAAATTATGAATTTTACGGGCCAAACTCTATAAGAAAATGTTTTTTCCCGGTCGATCTCGGCCAATTTTTTTTCCGGCCTCAAAAAAAGGCAGTTATTTACCTTACAAATCGATTCGTACTTTTTCGATCAGACCTCTCAATCAAAAGTTATGGACTAAATAAAAATTTCGACTATATATATATATATATATATATATATCGATATCTGCAATCAATTTGTTTAAGACGGAATTTCAATGATGCAACCAACTGGGCAGAATTAAAGGGAATCGCTCCCCGGTAACCACCACCGTTTTGCTTTGGTGTGGTGGCCAAAGAAAAGATACAGGGATAGTGTACAAAAATACTATTCAAAGCGATTCTTAAAAGAATACCAATTTAATTTGAGTTATTAAGGATAGAAGGAAAAAGCGCACAATTTAACGAAAAGTTAAACTCCTCTTTTTCTTTATTGTAATTTATGGATGCATTTAATGAGAAAGAAATTCTACAATTCAGCGGTATTGAATCGAATCATAAAACGAATTCATGAGATTCTACAACATTTCGACTGGGATGGCACATATTTTCCACATTTTCAACAGTGATGGTATAATTTGACCGTTAGATTTTTAAAATTTAAATTATTTCCTATAAATCAGTACAATAATCCGCGCTGCAGTCGACTGATTAGCGTATACCTTCTAATACTCAGTTGCATCCTTTTAAATTGGAGTACACTGCACACATAGTATCGATTCGCCGAGGATTGTAATAAAAATAAAATTCATACTATAACGCACCCCAAAACACAATTGTAGCAAACACGCTAAATTATACAGTCCTAAACCTTTGGATGCGTGTACTCTGCTAATTTTTGGGACTGCAGCCCTGACGATAATCCACAATTTCTTTCCGGTAATTCACGAGAAAAATGATATCAGTGTTCCTTACACATTCTTTCAGTTTTTGATATAAGATACATAGATGACGCTGTCTTACATAAATATTACATTAGCGCTTTTTACACTTTGAGCATGCGACTGAGCTGGTACCTAGGTACACTTTAAGGAATGTGATGAAGAAAGCTATTTTGCACAATACGTACATATCAGCTGGGATGAAGTTGCCAGCGAAATTCTTAAAATGAATGTAAAGTGCTCACATTTGAAATGAATCATTTCAAAATATGTTTCGTTTACTCCCATCATTTTCTAGAGAGATTGCATGTGTTAAGTTCTTATGTATGAAAACCGATATTTTATTAATCTCCAAACTCCATTTAAGTAAAAAGCATATACGGGAATTTTACCTTTGTATAGTCGACAGTGTAGATCCAACCTTAAAAAGCTCGAGCTCGGATCTCACATTCAGTCATGACACATCGTTGTTGCACGATTCCGCCATAGGCGCACATCCATAAAATTACAATTTACCTGTTTTTTTAATGGACATAGGAAACGCATCTTTTAGATGTTGCCAATAACAGCGAATCAGCGAATCATCTTCCATTGGTATGGCATGTTTCTTGAAATGTTTTATCTTGGAGAAAATTAGACCAAGTGAACAAGCCGTCGAAGTTTCTTAAATTCTTGAAACTAAATACCTGATGCAAATTCCTATGAATACTTAACATGTTCTTGATTCAGGCGATGGGGATGCAATTAATTCTACATTGATTGGTGACTGATGAGTCTCCAGTTCTGACCTTAGAATGTTGGGAAGATCGTTTGTTGGATTTTGCCTCTGTCTAGGTTGGTGGCGTTCTCCTGTTACCCGCTCCTCTGGTATATATGTATTTGGCAATCGTATTGATCTCGAAATCCTATTTGTACTGTTCATTAATATTGTATTTTAGTGGTGAATTCTTTTAATAATTGGTTTTTGATGGTGGTTATATAACATTTACATATCATATTCCATTTCTTGAACTTTTCTATCGTATGTCTTTCTTTTTCCAATGTAAATACTTTTGTTTCCCTTGCGGAACACGCTTTAAAATTTGGTTGGGACCATTTCGAAGGGGTACGCTCTTGTGCAACTAAGACTAACACTATGATCACTTGTGTAGGTACCACAGTACCATTGTTTTCTTAAATGCATTGCTGAACTGTCATCGTGACTGATAGGCTGTGAGTCGCTTCAGCACCTGCTGAATATGCAACGAGTAACTAATGTACTCGTTGCCACCAACACCGGTTACTCTTCCATGGTTGCATTGTGAAACGTTGTATATGTGAACTGTTAAAGAATCAAGCCCAAATTAAAGCCTTAATTTAGCTGGTGGTGATAGAGGCAAGTGGGATGTAGGCAATAGAGGCGGTGGTAATATCGGCGATGATAGTAGCACCCAATCTTGGTCAAACAACAACACTCTAAAATAGATTGGTTTTAAGGCACACGTCTTTAGCAAGCCGAGGTGTCATAGCGCGCCCAATAATAATTTTAAATATAAAATTAACTGTAGTTCTGTAAGAACGTTGAAACCAATGGGACACATTTCTAAAGCCGACAGGTGATCAAGCCGTCTTAGTCTCTATTACCCCTTGAATTCTTGAAAAATTAATCTTGATGCAGTTCCATCAGAATATGCAACGAGTAACGAATCATTCTAGCAACTGCTATGAACATTATTGTGCCTACAATGCAATCCGTTGCCACAAACATCGGACAGTCTTGAATTGTTACGCCAACAGATATCCATTCGGAATTAGATTTATGCCGGCTCATTCCTTCTGGAACCAAAGTACAGACAAAAGGCGTCGTCGTTGTGAATGCTGTACTCCAATGATGGATACTCTTTGTACCACGGCATCGTTTGTCCATTGGAACTGCTGTCTGCATAGTTTTGGCTGGAATGGTCCAAGAGAGTTTAAATATTGTCGTTCATTTTCGGTAGATACTTTTCGTCGTTTGCCGGCGTCATGCTCTATCATGGTGCCTGTTTCCACGGTAATTGTTAAAACGTCTATTGCTTCTATAATGAATAATTTTGTGTTTGGGGCTGCACTTTTTCGAAAATTATTAGTTCGCCTATCGTTTCAAAATTCATTTACTTGCCCAACGTAGTCTGTCCAAGAAAATTTGATAGATGTGGCCTCTTCTGGTGTGGTGTTCTCTTTGTCCGTGAGACTCTCGGGTAGTGTAGTTTCTTCTTCTTCGGAACCGCAACCGCGACCGGAGACGGTTCTGTAATGGGAACGTTTTCTTTTTCATGTGTGAAGGTCGATGAAAGTAAGACCACAGCATCAATCGATACAGTGCATCCCATCCCGGCGACGACCTATCGTTTTTGTTTTTTTTTTGGACATGAACAATGATATACTGTAGAGCGGTTGTCAAATTAGGTACCGAAAGTGGTTGTTATATGGTTGAAATATGCAAGGAAGTTCAAATAAGCTGTCTTTTTTACATAATTTCCAACGGTGCAAATGATGCATTTTTTTTAATTGCGTTTTACCGTTTACCTACGCAGGTAGATACCAGAAAACTTTACCCTACTATAAAGGGCATAATTTCAAATTAATACTATAGTCCCTATTCGAATTGTATTATATGTAGAAAGGAAAAATCACACTCTATACAATAACAAATAATAAAACTTAATTCCGGTGAATTGTTTCAATATAATAAACATGAGTTTACTTCATATGTTTACCTCGTCTTAAATTCAATCGATATGCATGAAGGTGATGGAGGTGTAGCCGAATCTGCAAGAGCGTTGCAATTCCGTTTTGCCGCTTGAAATGGGTTCAACGGCGCTCCAACGTGCTGCACCTTTACACGTTTTCCTTCGTATTTCATGACGTGCTCTGTAATCGCTGTGGAATTGTCCGCCACACTCCAAGCATTTCAATTTAATTCGTTTTCTTTTGTATGATGACACCTTAGATCAATCCTGAGTGGCATAAAAATGTTAGTCTTACAGTAATTTTTAAACCGCAAGTAAGGTATAAGGCCCAGCAGTTAAATAAGGTGTCTCCATATGGGTGCTTTGGCGATATACAGTTTTAATTTTTTTATTATAAACGAAATCCACCATATAAACATAAAAATTTTAAATTCTGAGATTGTTGTTGAAAAGCTTATATTATGTTTGTGTCTAATAAATACAAAACATCATATACCTATATAGTGTGCGGGTAAAAAGTATGTAAGGTATACCTACCCCGCAAAAGTGCCCAAATTGGATATCTATTGGAGATTGAATACCGCGGCTTGAATTCTGGTTTAAGTAAAACTGGGCTAAAATTGCTAATTAATATGTGATTGGTGCATTTTTGCAATTTAACCAATCAAATTCCTTAACACGCTCTTCAGCTAAACTTTTATTTTTTAATCCACCATTATAACACGTGTCTTTCTTTTCTTCAATTTATAAGTAGTCCACTGGCAAATACACTTAATTTGTAAAATTCACTGATAATAATCGAGACCAACAAAACCGTTTTATCGACATGAGCTACAATTTACTAAGCAGTAGTCACTAATTAAATTATACTCTAAACTATTATACAAACAGGAATCATTCCCAGATGTACAATTTGGGAACACTGGGTATGCTACTTATATCTCAGATGCTGCTCTTTGTTACGGTACGTTTCGTGGAACGTTGTAGATGTGATCTGGTCTTTGGGCAGTTTTGATTGACATAATCTGAATGCTGCTTACCAACCATATGACATTGTGGAGCTTTGCCCCGATTCGCTCTAATTAGACCCTAGTTGGGCCCAGACACATTTCTAAAGCCGACATGTGACCAAGCTGTCAAAGTTTCTGTCTATTACCCTTTGAATTCTTGAAAATTACTCTTGAACCCTAAATAACTGATAGTCTTGAATTGATACGGAAACGTTGTATATGTGATCTGGTCTTGCGACAGTTTTGAATGCCGCTTACTAACAATATGACATTCTGGAAGCCTGGTTCAGATTCGTGCTGATTAAGACAGATTTCTAAACCCGACAGATGACCAAAGTCTCTGTCTCTATACCCTTGGAATTTTTGAAAAATTAATCTTGAACCCTAAATAACTAAATAAGTACTAAATAAGTACGCTCTATATCTGGTTTCACCATACTTTTGATGGAGACCATGGAGATATGCAAGTTGATACAGTAATTGGATAAGGTTCCTCTCCAAATTTGATACGTACGTTAGTAGTATATGGGTCTAAGTACACCAACCTTCACTTCATATACTGGGTGGATTTTCTACGATTACAGTGCCGGTTTCTGCACTTCAGGGTGGAATGAAACTGTGTTACCTGCACACGCCGAACACGCTTCAAAATTCGATTGATGTTTATGTGAGTCGAGCTCGTGCCATTCCAACGTTATAAGTGTTTCAGCTTTGCACAACCAAGCGGAAATATCAGTGGGAAACTTCTTCTCTCTATCGAATTCCAATTTTCAGACACTTTGTGGTGTTTTTTGTGGGATAAAGAGCTGTTGCGTTCACGATGTACCTAAGCGATTAACAATATATACATAATATTAATAATAATAATTTCAATATAATAATAATACCTTTTGATGCTCAATAACTGTTTTTGACTCAACATTATTAGTCTACTTGCTGTTTTGATCTATTCGACTCTTACATTAGCTTGCGAAGTGACCTTTGCCTTGGCAGGTGCTTTTTATACTTCCCTTCATTTATTTTTTGATCCATGCTCAACGCCCAGATGACTATTGTTCTGGCTATCTCTAAAATATTACTTAACTTCTGCTGTTGTTGATTCTAATCCTTTATCGAGGTCTCGAGATATTCGTAAGATCTTTGCCATTACGTGGACGAATCTATCTATTAATAGAATAATATCTATATGTATCTGTATTTTCTTCAATGCTCTTTAATTTATTGAGCAGGGGATATTCCTGATTGTCCATAAAAATCCTATTGGTCGACACCATGCTTTTCGGATGCTTTATTATCTACATACACCTCTTATTCGTGTGCTTATCCCTCCTATTGAATTTTTTAATTTTCCTCTTCGAGCATTAGAGAGCGGGGAGCAACTATCTACCCATGCCGAACAAGCTTAAATATACTATTGATATTTTTGAGGGTTGAACACGATCCCTCCTATTGAATGTTCTAATTTTCGTCTACGAGCATGTTGTCTATTAGAGTGGGGAGTAACTATATTACTCATGCCGAACAAGCTTAAAAGTACTATTGTTATTTTTGAGGGGAACACTCCCCATTTAGGGACGGGAAACCAAAGGCTCGGAATTCGCCTTTACTGAATACGCAGTAGGTCATAACGCTACTGCCGTAAAATGTCAATTTACTTGTCTTAGTGAATTTATTAATGAAATTATTTTGGGGAATAAGAGCAAATTTACTTTAAACCGTCCGGAGAGGTACGCAGGAATACGTGTAAGACCAATTAATTCGGTTCTATCACAAAATAGTGTGGTTGACATTTCTTTGTCAGGTACCTCCGTCGTTTGCAGCTTTTCAAATAGAGGTTTCTGCTTTATCCTGATGAGCAATCCTTTCCGGTACTTATAATGCCTCTTGTTCGATCTTTTAATTCTAATTACACTTGTAGTCCGGAGTTATTATTTTGAATATTTTTTTGAAGAATTTTGACCCCAATCAGGGACATTTTACTGACTTATTTAACGAGTATAAATAATTTGAAAATAAAAATAACTTTTTAAACTCTATTACCCTATATCGCTATTTTTCTGCAGTCCAATACATTATTACATTTGCATTGAAATTGGGTTTTTAATTATATATATATATAATTAAAATTAATATATATATATATATATATATATATATATATATATATCTGTGTGTGTGGCGGCGATTACACCAGGTGGTCTCCACCTACGGGTGTTGGGTCAGCATCTGTCTAATTTGGTTTATGTTTCTAACTTAATTCTATTATTGAAGTATATTGTACATACCTCTTTATTGGGGGCTACGGTGCCCTTTTGGGTTTTGCTATAAAACAGACTTAGTTGTTTGTAGCGCAAGCGATAGTGAAAGTGTGTTGAACGATCGTCCTGGGTACCATCGTGATCGATCGTATGATATTACGGGCAAGATGTGAGGTGGTGGTGCATTGATTGCCGTAATATAGTGGGTTGTCAATGTTACTTCCATGCACAATAATTTTGTGGATATTTGTTATTCCGCCATCATGATAAATTTCAATTTGATTTTTGAACTGTTGGAACAATACATTGTGAATCACCACCTTTATTAATTACATCTCCGGGAGGTTTCCACGTGCCAAACTTCAATACTGCTGTTAGGGATTGTACATTGTACAGCAATTGAGCAATTTCAAAACCTTATTCAACTACATCAGCATAATGTGTTGAATTGTAGTAGTAGGCTGCCAGATTTGGTAGGGAAGGGGCAGGGTGGATGGCATCGACAAGTCCTTACCAACAGCAGCGGCCAGTTGAAAACGGCGAACCCCATGAAGCGAGCTGCCCATGAACATTGACGACAAGTTTATAAGGAAATGAACTGCCTAATGACGCTTCACAACATTCTGGAAACAGTTAACAAATAATTTGGTTTTATTATCGTGGTTGAAAGGAGTTTGTTACCTTTCATTAAAAAGCCAGTACTTTTCGGAGGAGCTATCGTACTCTGCGATCGAGAAGGTCCAATTTGGATTGTTATTTGTTTTACCCAGGTCAGTTCATTTCGAATGTGTTTTTGGACTCCTAACCCGGAGGGCACAGGGAGATTAATTGTCAATCTAAAACAATTTAATCAATTTGTAAAAACTGTTAATATGTAATTAGTTAAATCCATAGAAATGACAGTATCTTTGCCAAGGGAACAGCAGTTGAAATTAGTAGCCGAATTGTCAAAAATAGAAAATTATGGAGTTTATTCCAAAAACTCATTTTACAGGATGTCAGGAAAGTTAGTGTCCACTTGTCGTGTGGATCTGGAGAGTTGTGTAGTTCAAACCATCTACCTTATATAATCAAAACGGGAGTTAGGAAAGTCTCAGTTAGGTTCCTGTTATTAACAAAAAAGCAGTTCCACAAGGCAACTGCCCAAATGCTTAGCGGATGAATTAACCTTATTTTACAAAGCAGTGACATGGACGTTAGTAAATTTTCCGCGTATAGTACCAGGGATGCAGAAACTTCTGCTGCTAGTAGCAAAGGGTTAACTTTGAAACTACTAGGTTATTAGCGGGTTGGTCCCAGAATCCCAAAATGTCTGCTACCGTGGCCAACTTTGCTTTAATTCTCAGAATTAAAACGTTACGATGTATAAGGGGTAGCTGAGGTCTGTCTTAGAGTCTCACCGAAATTAAGGAAATTAGGTCTTCATATAATCAAGATCGAACATCACTCTTCCATGTTTGGTGGTAATTTCCGGTGTCGAAGCTTGGCACAGTTTTGTTTTTACTGTTCATGGATGATATTATTGACGTAAGGTATTATTTGCTAACGATCTGAAGGTGTTTTACTCAATATCCACAATGGAAGATTGTCATTCCTTAGAATTTCACCTGAATAAAGTAGTGCGACAAAAATCATACCAAAATGTGCTATTGTTTCGTTCCAATCGAAGAAAGAATTGCATCTTAATTGATTACACATTACAAAACAAATGAGTCAACGTCAAGAATTTAAGGATCTTGGGGTCTTGTTCGATGCCAAATTGTCCCACATTAACAAAAATTGTAGTTTCAAGCTGCTTTTGTGATTAGACATTGTAAGCTATTTAAACATATTCGGATTATGCCCGAGCATGCCTCAACAGTATATGGCAGCCGTTGTATAATAATCATACGAATGCCATTGTAGCTGTTCAGCGCATATTTTGCAAATACATATCCTTTAAAGGCCAACAGAAACCTTCATCATCAACCTCTGCTATCAATGTCGTACCACAACGTCGGAAAGAATGTAACAATTGTTGCATGAAGACAGTACAATTTATTAAAGAGGTCCCCAACATGTGCGAAACTTGTTACACACATGTTGAAAGCTATGCTCTAATGCATTTGAGTATGTAGTTCATTTATAAGAACATATTTTTGAGATCGGTGCTTATCTTACCTATATGTTGTTTTTAACTTATTTTTCTCTATTGTATTTTCATTTGTTGGATACATAGCGTTTGGAATAGCTTTTTGTTCACATATTCCTTTATATGTTAAGTTTTGGTTGTGTAATGTTTATTCTTGGCTTGTTAATTAATTTTCGGATTGATTGTATTTTGTAAGGGATCGGAATTTTTTCAATTCGTGGATATACAAAGGCAATTTAATAACTATGTACTTCCTATGAAGTTTATTTTTTACGTTTATGACTCGAGTATGATTTCTTTGTAGGCAGATGCACAGACAAACGTGGTATCCAAAGTCGTATAAAATGCGTGGACGCAATATTTGCTCCTCGCTGTTAATACAATCGTGCTTATATTAGAAGAGACATTTTGTATCGTATTACTATGAGATAAAATATTTCAGGCTAGAGTGTTTGGGACCAAAGGCAAAATTTTCATATTTCTAACCTCTCTATTCTTCCTCTGACAAATATGTTTGTTGTAGCCTCCTTCGAACTCGCATTCTACGTACTCTCAAAGCGGTAGAGCTAAGTTATCGATTGACGTTTTATAAAGCCTATAATGGGTAAACGTAATTTGTTTAAAATCCATTAAACAAATTAGAAGGTCGAGCGTTTCCCGAGTTTTTAGTAAATTCCCGATTCAAAATGTAAACATAGCGCAATTCGGAAGCGAGATATTGACTACGTCCTGTGAAGGTTGCAGTTGTAAGCAATCATGCGCATTATATAAAGATTGAGATTCAATGGTTCCGCAAAAAAGATTGATTTTGCTGAAAAATAACCTTGCGAAAGGTATACATATCATGTCATTTCTAGCACCCTTTACAATTCCATTGTATTCTCAACAACTGTTAGCAATCAATGCAAGTTCACAAATGAGTTAGTGTCGAACTAAAGATTTTTTTGCTTTTCCGCAAGGATAATGTGCGTATATGCTGGAAGAAATTTATTCTAACAAATTACTTGTCGCTTAAAAAATGAGGCAATCATTTGTAAGGCGGCTGATCAATATTTATTATTCGTGCGCTTACGCTATAGTGAAATGAGAATATTCAACCTTTCAGATTTTCATTTAATCTTTTAATAATAAATAGGTTTGAAGGTACTTAATCCAAAGCTGTGGCTCGAGTGTGTAACGAATCTATTTAAAATTATGCAATTTTAACAAGGGATGATACATACTTGTATCGGGGGACTGAGGAAAACCTCGGGCATCGTTTAATTTGGAAAATAACTGAATGTTTTGATTGGACGTTAAAAAACATAATGAAAGCTTTTATGACGCCAGAGTAAAATGAGATATTTTATTTACAACTATTTAAATGGGTCATGAACTTTGCCTAATCAATAACTTTTAGGGAGAATGGTTGCCATTCCGGTCGTTTGTAGTGTAAGTGTATAATCAATGTGTAAACGCACTGTCACCGTAGCATCATTCATAGAAAATAACCGTACTCTTTCCGCATTCTGTGTTTTGTTGTCGGTAGTTAATTTACATGCGCATTATTTATGCTCGATTGATTTTCAAATTTATCTTCTTCAAGACTGCCGATTCAAAAGTGTGTCTACACCTCTCATTAATAACAATTCTTAACTGTACGAATGATTTTCTTGTCGAAGAACCCCTTAAATGATAAATGTGTGTCTCATCAACGTCTGTCTATTTTGGAAAATTCACGTTGGAAAGCGTGATCAAATATTACAATCACATCGATTTGCAATTAGGGAGTTGTCTGTTTGACATTATTAGGATTTTTGTTATTGTGGCAGTATTTAGCTATTGGGGTTCAATGCTTCTGTTCAGTTTACGTGACTATATCGTGATAAGGGTAAATTAAAAACTACTAAATAAACGAATATTGACTATATTCGATATACCTGACGATTTTTAGGGAAATTGTATTAATATTGTTTATTGAAGGGTTGCTTTTCCCTGATTACAGTAATATTTAGGAATGATGATGTTCCCTATTATGTTTAGCAGACTACAAGCCTTCTAATTAAGAATACTGTTTTTAATCTTTTACTTGAAGATAATGTCGGTATTGTTTTCCTGTTGCTCGAGCCATTTGATCATGACATTTTGGGTTTTTGGAACTGGCGAAGGTAATTTTTAAATTCAATATTTTGAACACTCCTATTTTGAGATTACTATTAAGAGTTCGTTTTTCAAGCAGCGGGAGAGTCACACTGTGGTGTGTCGGAGCGCAAGGGTAGTTATTGGAACAGTATGTTATGTGCAGGATTTCTTTTGATATGAGCCAATCTCATCAATTTTCAACACCTTACATCAAGAATCAATTATAGAAGGTAGAAAGCGAATTTTTCAACATTAAGTCCGGTTGCCTATGAACAATATCGTTCTAAAGCTCTGTCTACTGTATGGAAGTTTCATTTTTTTCTGCATATGAGATTACATTGTTACTCTTGACATAAACTATGCCAACTATGACTTAAAAAACATCACTTATGCATAATTTTGAATTTCTTCTAGTGGAAAAATTCAGAATGACTCAAAAAATTCACACTAAAGGACCCTAGAAAGGACTTTTAAAAAAAGTTTAACTCGAAGAAGGACTAAATAAAAATGAGGGATTAAGCATGGAATTATGCGAGAAATTTTGATGTAATATGTCAGAACCAACGTTCACAAGTGATGGCTGCCAGATTCATTCACCAGAAGGTATTGTAGTCGCCACCGCCACTCTTAGAGATGGAATCTACGTACTGGATCGTCCTTCTACTAAGCACATGATATGTCAGGCTACAAATGAGCAGCAATCACAACCTACTGAGACTATACATGCTATTTCAAAGCCTCAGCAGTCAAATGCTCGTGCCAATGCTGTCCAACATTCTCATGATATTTGGCATTCACGCCTAGCTCACCTCAATCATCGTAGTATGAGATTGCTACGTAACGGTCTCGCTACAGGAGTTAACTACCCTAATACTCCACACGACCCTTGTATTCCTTGTATTGAGGGAAAGCAAAAGAGAGTACCTATACCTCGCGAGAAAGGTACTAGGGCAACAGAATTACTCGAACTTGTACATACTGATATTGCTATTGTGAATGTAAGTTCACTCAACGGCGCGACGAGCGCAATCCTGTTTGTCGATGATTATAGCCGAAAAACCTTCATTTATTTTATGAAGAAGAAGTCAGAAGCTTTTGCTAAATTCTGCGAATTTCAGGCATTCGTCGAGAACCAAACCGGAAAGCGGATCAAAACTCTTCGCTCCGACAATGGGGCTGAGTACTTCGCCCATGACTTCCAGGATTATCTGAAACAGCATGGAATCAAGCATCAATCCAGTGTGAAGTATCATCCAGAACAGAATGGAGTCGCCGAGGCATGTTGTCGTTTAATTTTTACAAAGGCACGCTGCATGTTGCTTCATGCAAATCTACCAAATGCCTATTGGGCGGAAGCCGCCAGCACGGCTGTGTATATTAAGAACCGCAGTCCGTCGGGAGCTGTTCCGAACAATACACCAGATGGCGTATGGTCTGATACTGTTGTAGATTTATCTCATCTCCGTGTATTCGGATGCCTTGCTTATGAGAGGAAGGATATTAATCGGAAGAAGCTAGAATCCCGATCACAGAAATTGATTTTCGTCGGATATTCTGAGACACAGAAGGGAGGTTATCGCTTAATTGACCCCATCGTCCTAAATCGTTAACTGTAGGCAGAAATGTCGTATTTCTGGAAGACCACTTCTTTCACGCCATTCCAGAGACCGCACCAGTCAACGAAGATCGCAAGAGTCTCGTGTGTGTTCCTCTGACGTCGCCGCCTACCGTTCAGACGCGAAAGGGGGGACATCAAGCTCAGCCCACGCAGACACAGCTGCAGTCACCTGAGCATCGCCCGAGCAACAGTCGAGCAGTTACGCTGCCTGTACGTTCGGAAGCGTCATCAGAATTCGAGGACGAGCAAGAATCGCCCGTCACAATTGCCCTAAGGAAAGCATGTTCTTCAGATAGTCCACTAATCGACTCAAGTGAGTACCTGCCATCTGATGAAGATTCAGAAGACTCAGATGTAGCTGACAAAGATTCTCCTTACAAAACCAGAGGCAACGTCAACCTAGTGACTGAAAGCATCGTGATGGCCTCTATGCTGAATGAGAATGAACCAACCACAGTGAGGAACGCACTCAACCGCCGAGATAGACATCAATGGTATGAATCCATGAAAGCAGAAATCAACGCAATGAATGAAAATGAAGTCTGGAGTCTTGTGGAAAAGCCCAAGGATCAGCAAGTTCTTGGATGTAGATGGGTGTTTAAAATAAAAAGACACTCAGATGGTACCATTGAGAGGTACAAATCACGACTAGTAGCGCAAGGCTATAATCAGGATACGACATCAATGGAAACCTACTCCCCCGTGATGCGATATAGTACACTCAAACTATTATTCGCTTTGGCCATTGAAAATAATCTGAGCCTGAGTCACTGGGATGTCACCTGTGCTTTCCTACACGGGGAACTGGAATCGCCTGTCTACATGCGGCAACCCGAAATTTTCGAAGACGGAACCGATCGAGTGCTTAAATTGCACAAAGCTCTCTACGGTTTGAAGAACGCAGGGCGTCGGTGGTACCAGAAACTTACAGATTTTCTCCTATCAGTAGATTTTAAATCCTCTGATATTGACCCCTGTGTGTTTACTCTTAAGAAAGGAAATAGCTTAGTCGTAATTGGAATTTGGGTTGATGACCTTGTATTAAGTAATGACCAAATTCTTGAAAAATTTGTCAGAATTGAAATAACTAATAAGTTCAAGACAAAGGATCTTGGAAGTGTCAGTCACATTTTAGGTCTAAACGTACAACGGGAAAACAATCAACTTAAAGTAGACCAAGCTCACTACATCCATTCCCTACTTAAAAAATTTCAAATGCAAGACTGCAAGAACATCGCTACATCAATGGAATGTGGCATCAAATTTGAAGAAACCACACCTGATAAGGTTGCTAAGGTACCTTACAGACAACTCATTGGATCGCTTATCTGGCTCGCGACATGTACTCGACCAGATATTTCGTTCGCAGTCAACAAGCTTGCAGCCTACAGCAGCAAACCATCCGAAACCCACTGGAAACACGCCAAACGCATCCTGAGATACCTCAAATCTACTATTAACTTGGGACTTATCTTCAGCAAGTCTAAAGACGGCATAATTACAGGCTACGTTGATAGTGACTGGGGTGGTGACTGCTCAGACCGCAAGTCAACTACAGGATTCGTCTTGATGCTCGCCAACACTTCCATTGCTTGGGAATCAAGAAAACAGAAGACTGTGGCATTGTCATCATGTGAAGCCGAATATATGGCAATGGCAGAGATGTCAAAGGAGTGCAAATTTCTTGTCTCTCTCTATGCTTCAATCGTAGGCCAAGTCCCCGTAGTTAATGTATTCACAGACAGTCAGTCTGCCCTAAAGCTGTCTACCAATCCTATTGTTACCAAGCGTTCCAAGCACACTGATATAAAGCATCATTTCGTGAGAGATTGTATACTGAGTAACTTGTACAAATTGGATTATGTACCCTCAGACCAAAATATTGCTGATATTCTTACCAAATCTCTTCCCTCACCCGCACATCTTAAATTGTCATCTAGTTTAGGATTACACAAATGTATTGTGGTGAATGATGATATGATCAGCTTGGATTCGATCTAGATCTGACCACTGTAGAACACGTTAAAATTTTGTGCATTTTTATTATTATTATTTTTTGTTGTTGCATAGCTGATCGGTGATTAAAATTAAGAGGGGGTGTCAGAACCCTCAATTGTAATTTGAATTTCCCCTCTATCAAATATGTAGATCCAGGTATGCGCATAAGGTGATATGATACCGTCACGTTTTTTACTTCAATGTAAACAATTTAATAGTGCACATTGTTCCTATAATAAAAATAATTGAAATGTAAATTTCTATCATTGACATAATATACGAGTATGTGGGTTTCGTTCTCGAACGAAATTTGACGTTTGAAACTCGAAATCTGAATCTTAAACAATTTTGCTTGATTTTGAAAGTTTCGAATTCAAACTATACAGAATAGAGCCTTAAAGTATACCTAATATTCGCGGTAATAACTTCCCTTTAAATAAAAAGCATGGGTAGCGTACATTCAAATTTAAGGAATTTAAAACCGAAGATTTGAGGTTTGATAGTTCTGTTTAATCAGCCACTTGAAATTTAGAACTGAATGAAGATAAAAATTTGAGGATTTCAGATTAAATCAAGAGCTAATTTCTAAGCAAAACTTGAACTTTTATTGTTTCTCACGAAATGAAATCACCAGATGTGTTTTCCAAATGGTGACTATAGCACCTTACTAATAAAATTAACAAAGCCACGAATAAGGTTTTGCTCATATTGTTCATGGATATGGGGTGCTACAACTTAAACGAAAGGTTGAAATGTTTCATTGGGAAACTACACACCACCTCCGCGTCTTTCATTTCTTCTAACAAACACTAACAACACATATAGAAAGAGCTTTATCTAAAATTTGTAGTCCAGAATTCCGATCTCGTAAAGAATTACATCGGAAAATTTGGCACCCCGTCAAGTTGATTAAAGACTAGCTTTGAGGGGCAACAAAAAAAACGCAAAATCAGGAAACTAAATCACGTTCAAATTTCCAATACAATTTTCTTGGAAGAATATTTTCTTTGTTTTGGTTCCACGACACTCGAATTGAATATCAAAGATCACAACAAATTTAAGTAATTCGCATCATACGGACGGATGTTAATTTGGAATTGGTTTTCAATTTCAATAAAATATTAGGACTAAAAGAAACAAATTAATTGTCTCGTTACAATAACAAAACGAGTGTTTCTCTCTGAATTAAAAAAAAGTTTCTATTTCCATACCTTTTTATTTAGCTGAAATCGTGCACTAAACAATATTCAATATCGACACAACACTCCCCGAAAGACGATCACGGCTCAACTGAAAACAAAGAATTTAAATGTACACGTTATCATCTGAACTGGTTTCCTTTAAATACCCACCTTTCTTAGTCATACAACTATTTCAAACAAATGAATTTACGATAAAACGGAAAACTTGGAAAATCCATTTAGCAAACAACATTTTGATGTTCCTATACTGCTGAAATGAGAAAATTGGTTACACTTAATTCTTTCCGTATTTCTCCGTTAAAAAAGATCAATTTCCCTTACCTAAAATAAATGCGAAGTGCCACCCTTCTAAACCATTTTCCAAAAAATGTGTTATAGGGCTCAAACTTTCAAGCTCATTTGGATGTTTACATGATCCCATCCTAGCCGAAATGGCCATGGTACATTATTTGAAATCTTGTTCCATTACTCTAATAACGTCAAATGTTAATTTTCACAATTTTGTGCCATGTACAATGGAACAGAAAAAGAGAGAGATCCATAAAAATGAGTTTTCGCAAGTTAAAGAATGAGATCTTGTACATGAGTTTTTGACCATCATGTCTAAGTACATTTCCGAGCACTTGTTATATATTGAGGCAAATTATGAAAGTAATGCATTTATCGTGCTTGCATTACAAAAAGCAATGGGACATTTTTATTAAAAAAAATTAAAATAATAATGTCTTTTATTAAATCACGCTAATCACATTAATGAAAACGAATATCTAAACAATATAATAATAATATACATATGCGCGATGTAAAAGGACGAAGTTCAGATACTAACGCAAAGTCCATTATCCCTGCTCTTCCGTTGCGTTGAATATAAACCGCTTTATAATAGCCCAAGATGGGAGGCCAAGACGAGTTACGAGCGGCGTCCCACAGGGATCGATTCTCGGCCCAACCCTGTGGAACATCTTCTACGACAGAGTCCTCACATTGGAAATGGGTTCAGATATGGCGAGCGTGGCGTACGCGGACGACCTGGCTTTAATAGCCAAAGGGAGAGATGTTGCGAGCTTGCAGGACGGCCTACATAGAACTGCGATAGAACTAAAACGAATAAAAATCGAGATAGCATGGGGAAAATCGAATGAAAGAGGAAATTCAAGAATTACGTAGAGCAATTAATTCCAAGCGATATTGCTGGGTCTACCAAAATAGAAAAGATGTCTAAATCAAGACGGAAGTAGGATTGAAACCCATCAAATTGACTATCAAACCCTCGCTGGTACGTCATCAATTTTTCCACTTGTTAGTGAGGGTGGTTTTTTGATTACCACCGCTCCATCGGAAATGAAGTGGTTGACTTTGCCGAACTGCAGGGGGAATTTCCTCAACTGTATGCGCAAAGTTTGTCGCAATATCGCCAACGTTTGCTGGCACGTCAAGTGTTACAAGTATAACCTTTTTATGGGTGGCTTTTTTTTACTGATAAGATCACTACCGGTTTGTAATCGGCAATGAATTGGTTGAGCCCATCGAAGTCAAACAGACTTGGGTCCCATTACTTTTTGACCACTACCATCGGATGTACATAGATAAGCAATTAAGTTTCTCCACATGCATTGATTTGGTTTGTGAAATTATATTATAATAATAATATTTATTGTCCAAACAAGTAAATACTCTATAACAGGACAATATCTAAAAAAAGAAATCTTAAAGTTATTGCGAGCCGTTAACTATTCAAGAAAAAAAAGCAAATCTAAAAATTCAACTCTGATACAACTAAATTTCATTCAACGAATTGTAACCGTTCGTTTAAAGTAATATTAAATATATCCGTGGTGGAAGGTAATTCGTTCACTAGTGAACACACTAAATGAACTGGTGATCTCTGTAACGCGGCAGTTCTGCATCTAAACGGGTTGAATGTTGAAGAGGGGCAATCGATAGCATTGGACAAAGGTTTGTAGATTATATCACGTATACATAACGTTTGGCTCCATACTTTAGCAGGCCAACTGCATTTTTCCGGTTCCGCCCCACGTTGAGCGCCAAAAGTTGTAGCAGATCGCCTTTTTTGACTTTAATCTCTCAACGTCAATTAAAAATTTTTACTTAAATTACAATGAAATGGTAATTACCTTTAGGTAAAAGCCTAAAAGGGAGCCTTTTCTTCAACGATCGAGGAGAGTTTCGATTACAGGTTGTCTATTATAGTTATTCTTTTATAATACTAACCTATGACTTTACATGTTTCCCAATCCCATACCTACTTACTATTCCTATTATGCAAAATTGCAGTTTACTTCCCCACTATTTCTAAATTTCCTGATTACGATTACAAACTAACGTGCAGCTTCTCTGTTTAGAAGATGAATTTTAAACAGATAAAATAATTTGGATATGACAAAAACCAGTAATATACTTACGGCGCCAATCGCTAGAACAATATTGTACAATTGCACTCGACTACTCCAGTCAACGGTTTAAAACGAACTGATTTAAATAACCGCGATACCTATGAGCTATCACAACTCAAGGTCCAGCGTAGAGTGCGTTCCAATCCGTAATAATAAGGTGGCATCTCCCCTAATCTAAAAAAAATATTGCATTTGCGGTCCCGTAGATCAATTTATAATATGAAAATATTCTCATATACTAAATCACTTAAACACTGTACGAAATATGTACGTCTGTTTAACTAAAATTTATACGAAATGGAAAGCGAAAGGGCTCATCGATTTTAACAGGCCGCCGTTATCACCAAATCTCAACACGTGTAAAATGTTGATGCTTGAAATTGTTTGTATCAATTTATGAAATTTTGCCTGTGCTGTCATTTTATACTTTGTCATAACGTAATGGGTGTTGAGTGAAAAAGCGCTGTTCAGGTCACTATTCTTACGCCTAATGGAACGAGAAAGTTACGGACTCCCCTTGTTAGCTTCCAAAAGCAAACGTATATGTGTGGGATCTTCATCATTTTTGAATAGGTGTAATATTGTTTTAAAATTGTGAAATACGAGCAGGCTCGTGAATAAACAATGAAAACATAGTTATAAGTCATATTTTCATTCCGCCATCTTCTTACAACCACGTTAAAAAGCATTAACTTTAAAATGAGAATGCTTAAGCACCATGTTTGAAGAAGTTTGTGTAACTAATTACTTCTGTAAAAACAAAAGCCGTAGGACAATACATTTCCGCTATACCTACTTAAAATGTTTCCACGCCACTGGTAGGAATATCCAAGGCGCCGACTTCTACAATAACGTTAATCCATTACTGAGAAATACTTACGCAAATGGAACAAAAGCTTATAGAAAAAACTTTTCCAAAGAAACGCCACAGACGGTAGCTCGAGCTTTTCTATACACACTCTTGAACCGCAATTCAAAGAAATTCTACGCGTTTTCAACCATTATTGCGCCCATGTTACGCGCAATTGGATTAAAACCACAACATTATTAAACACATGCTCCAAGTTTTGGATATTGCTCATGGCAGTAGCAATACCTTTAATACATCTTTAATGCCAGAGGATCTGGAAGTAGGAGATGAAGTGAAGTTGTCCCGTACATTGTCATCGGGATAGAGATTCTAGATGTATTGGATTGAGTGCGCAGTCGCCATATACCAATGAGGTTGCCTTCTGTAGTGTGTATCGGTAGTGCTGTCTAAGCGTCTTTTACATTTTTGGCACCTCCCCTTTAAACTTGCAGGGAAAAGAAAATGTAGAAATCTGCAGAGGGAATTAATGAAAATTGGCGCAATTAACTTATTAGTTATTGAAAACTGTGTTGAAGAACATATTCATATTAAGTGCCATTTTTGTAGACACACCCAGAACGGATGCAATCCTATGTTGCATAAATTGTAAACGGTTGAATCTCTCATCAACCACTCGGCGGCAGACTGTAACTGTCCGATCGAGTTAGCCATAAATATGACTGATTATGAAGACCTCTAGGGCATAACCAATGTTAGGGGAGTCGCTCCAGGTTGTTGCGCTGCAAAGATGACCACGTTACATCTAGGGTAATGAGCACAAGAGCACAACGCAAACATTATTTCAATACAAGAGCCCGGCCCAAATCTAGCAGTGCCCAAAACGTGCTTTGAAAATCTACTAACTAAACCCGAAGACTGTTCCTCCGAATGGGAACTACATAAATGGTCCGTCACGTTTTGTACGGTTAATGGCTTGCCATATATGTATAGATATCACACATGCACGCGACATTACTGTTAATAACTGAAGCGTAATCCATTACGTTTCCAAACGGCCACGTTGAGCGACCATTCAATTATCATGTGGAAGTTAAGAGCACAGTTACATAGCTAAAATAAAGCCCCGGTACAGATACCGAAAAACAAACTGGAAAACGTTCGACACTGGTATGGTAATACCTCCATACCAGACTTAGATAACCCTTCGCTAAGGCCGACCAAAATGAAGGAATTCAGAGCGCCATATAACTTACCAAAGGCGAGTAACGCTGGGGTGGATCGCAAGTTGCGCGCGGTTCGTTATGTCGTTTAAGCAACCCTTAAAAGGTTCAAGACGGGTCGTGACGAGGAGGAACGCGACCGTATCATAGAACTACAGTATAAACATAAAGAAAGCGGAAAGCTTAAGTCCTATATTACCAGAAATAGCTCTCAAGATCTGTCAAATGGCTTTCCAGGACCCAGAAACGGGTACATGGGTCACAAATGAAGCACTTTCCCCAGGGAGGGTCCTGTTGTGGCTGGGTGTCTGCAAACCACTGTAGGTACAATGATGCAAAAGCATTTTTTACCAGCCTCCCCTTGGTTGCGAATGGCCCCTTAGCGCAATTGTGGACACAAAATTGTTATTTCCAAACACATTAAAGCCCCAACTACTAGTCGACCAACTCCTTCGAGTTTCGGGCTGAAACTGGGGAGTTACACGTTAATCACAAATATATGTAAACTGCTCGAAGCAGTAGTGCAAATATCGATCCCTAGATGCCTTGGTGCACCAGGCGAGAGCGCTGCGAGTGCGGAAACAGTAACTACTCTGACTTACATTGGCTAGACGAACGGCAAAATCCGAGGATTTAGTGTTCGTG